TAGATTCTGATTGAATCAAGAGTACTTTTTCTTTTCGATGTTTTTAAGAGTCTGGACTCTAGATCCAATGTGTTTTTTTCCAGTGTATACATCTACTTCCCCTCATAAGCTTTGATTGATCAGGGCTGTGAGTTTTTTTGTCCCTCAGCAATATTTCAGAGAATTACAGCTCAATAAACTCTCTTGCAATTTGCAAACAATATCCCCGACTAATTAACTACCATTATTTCTACTTTGCGCTACCGATTTGGGTAAATCATGAACGATCATGTATTTTTTTGTGTCGGATAAATCTTTTTTTTTTTTATATCATGTTGAGCAGGAGGCGACCTGTTAGAAATTATGTTTTAGGATGTAAATGCATACGTTTACAGTTTAAGTGTTTCACAATTACCTAGTAAGGCGTTTTTAAAGGAAATTTTAGAGTATTCATAACTCACCTATCTTCGAAGAAACTCAAATTTTTAAGAATTTAACATTTTTTTTGGCTCACTTCTTTCCATCTGAACTTTACTACTTGTAAATTTTATCTTTAAACAAAAGAAAGAAGAAAAATACACCTGAAAGCTGTCTTAAAATATGAATTTTAACAGTTATTTTTTAAAAAAAATTAATTCAATTTATTTTCTAAATGATTTCGAGTTTTTTTTAAAGTTTCTTTAAAGGTCGTGGTTGATGGGTAGTGGGAGCATCTCTACAATATTGAGCGTATTGAATTTTTCTGAAAAAGAAATACCTACAAGAAGAAGAAGGAGAAGAGGAAGAAGAAGGAGAAGAAGATAAATGATTAAAAACAGGAGGAGGGGGTGAAGAAGAAAAAGAGGAACAAGAGGGAGGAAAAATCTTTTAGGTCCTTTCTACCTCTAAAATGATTCAAATGGAAGATTTTATCGCGTTTACTTTTGAAACATCGTGTCGAGCAGTCATATGTTCTCACGCTCCTGTCAAAACAGCAGCTTAATATACCTAATACGAGTGAAATATCCAAAGATTTGGCAACAAGATAAACGGAGTCTGCATGAAGCATAATGGTCTGAAACAGAGGCAGGTATGACCGTGAGGTCACGGATTGAGTAACGGTAGGAAGAGAGTAAGAGTAAAAGAGAGAGAGAAAGTAATCCGCGTGCTGGTCGTAGCCGCGGATGCCAGATTTATGATGGAATTCCATGTTTATTTTTGACGATGGCCTCTTATAAGTGATGGAGAGCCAGGCAAAGAACCCTAGAGATGGAAACTCAAACTGTTTAGTACAGCGATTAAACTGATTATTTAGGTCAAAAATATGTTAGGTTCTACCACTTGTTTCCTGTTCTTTCTCCTCTTCTATTTCTCTTTTTCCCTCTTCTGTCTCTTTTTCTTTCTTCTCTTTCGTTCTTCTTTTTTCTCCCATCTGTTTCCTCTTTTCCTTCCTGTCTTGTACCATTTTTTCTTCCTATCTTTTATCCTCTTTTTCCCTGTCTTTTACTCTTTTTTCCTTCCAGTTTTTTACCCTCTTTTTCTTCCTGTCCTGGCTTGTACCCCTTTTCCACCTGTCTTTCGCCTTCTTTTTCTTCCTGTCTTTCACCCTCTTTTTCTTCCTTCCCCTGTCCTTCCTCCTCCTCACCTTGATCCCCTCTTTGCAAGTATACGCCTCTTAGAATAGCCAAAAGTCAAAAATAGTAGTTCCTTACCGCAAAACGCAGCCCATTCGCGGCGAGAGTCAAGTAAACCAATAAATTTGGCGTCACCGGTCTCGACCAGGAAGGATGTGTCGGGGCGGGCGGGCGGAGTCACTCGGTGAGTGGGTCAGTGGAGCAGTGAGAAAAGGGCCCGCAACCCAGAGCCAGGGCCCGGACCCCCAGAACCCCCCCCCCCCCCCCCCGGGTGCCGGTGAACAGGAAGCGCCGTCGCGGCCATAACAAATGTCATTCGCGGGATGACGAAGATGCGGAGCGACTTTAGCCGCGGATCAACTGGAACGCCGCGCCGCGCCGCTTCGGCCGATCCCCCGCTCGCCTGGGTCAGTGATGCAAGAGCGGCGAAAGGGGCGCGGGGGAAAACTGGGACCCAAGGGTTGCGTCATGCCAATTAGTCAGGAGCGCGCNGGGGGGGGGGGGGAGCTCTTGCGGAAAGGCTCAAAAGCCGAATTTTTCTCGTGTCTCCGTAAACCATGACCATCGAGATATCAAATAACTCCTGCGGGCCGATTATTGAAATGTACAGACAAAGAAGACACATGGAGTGTAGATCGATCCTATTGGTTGAAATGGGTGGTTCTTATAGACTAAAGGGGTAAATGATGGATCGGGTCTCTCGTGGGTTGCCGTTAATTAGAAAAATTCGGCTTTTGAGCCTCCCTGCAAGTGCCCTACCCCCCACCCCCCACGCATTCCTCACAGATTCAAGAAGGGGCAAAAACACGATCCCTCGCAAGTTAAAAAGAAGAAACAACGTCAAAACAGATAACAAAAGAGTAAACAGATTATTTTTGAGCTGGAAACCTAGTTCAACCGCATTTGAGGTGGTTGAATCTGCTTTTAACGGTAACAGTGATGCTGTATTAGATTATTGCCTTCTTTGCAAAAGATCTCACGTGCCCCCAGGTTTTTGAGGATTTTCGGGAGCTGCGCTCACCCAAAAAAAAAATAATAATCAGATATTATCAGATCCGGAGATCAGCGAAGAGATGTACTCTAATCCATAATAAATTATATAACTCTCTATTATCGTCAATCCATTATCTCCATTTATCAATTATAAGCGAAGATAGCAACAAAACTGATAATATTCCTACTTTAGAAACTTGCTAGTTTCTCGCGCTTATACTTTCGTAGGATTTAAAATATGTTCGACCAGGAACCATCAAAGATTTTGTCGATTTTTTTAAAACTAGGTCGAAGTTGTAAGATTATTATGATTTGTCTACTTGAAAGTATAGACAAAATATTTGTTTGCACATCAAAATATCTTACTAAAAAATTTGGTAATTTTTTTTTTCGTATTTTTGATGTGACAATGATCATGTTTAGCTTTCCGAAAAAATAAATTCAGCCACCCGGAAGCCCAGATTTTCAGCCCAAAATTTTTTTCACATTGCCTCGTACTCTCCTCGCCAGTTTCTCTTTAATTTCCCGTCCAGTGGCGAGGCATGAATGATCGATTATCGATTATTCCCATTTGAAGCTATGGAAAAATATCGATTATATTATTAAGGTGTTCGTTGCGAACACCCTGTTTATCGATCATTGCTCATAGGATTAAACGGCAGAGAAATCGATGTATCGCAAAGCACACTACGCCACTGTTCCCGTCAGGCGCAGGGAGGAAAAGCGGGCGGGCCGTGCTTTGCGATTTATCGATTAATCTGTCATTCAAATCCATAGAAAAGGATCGATAAACAGGGTGTTCGCGGTGAACACCTTAATAATCGATTTTTTACCATAGTTTCAATGGAGAAATATCGATAATCAATCGTTCGCCCCGCCACTGCCATTTTTAACCCTTATTAATCCCCACCCAGCGGGCTGATTATTGAAATTGATAGACAAAGCTATAGATAAAGAAGACATAGGGGGTATGGAGCGATCCTATTGGTCGAAATGTGTGATTCTTATAGACTGAGGGAGAAAATGATGGACTAACTGTCGGGTGTCTCGTAGGTTGCCGTTAGTTAGTCTATTACCTACTGCCTTTGTCCATCGAAACTACCAACTTCCACCAATAGGTTCCCTCCATATCCCTTTTGTCATCTTTGTCTATAGCTTTGTCTATCAATTTCAATAATCGGCCCGCTGATCCATTTTTAGTCGCCCCTGACGTAAGGGCGTATCTTGATTCCCGCAATCTCGCATGGGCCCCAGAAAGCATGGATTTATATGTGAAACAGGGCTTACGTGGAAATTGAGATACGTTCTTACGTTAGAAAGGCGACTTACAATGAAACCAGTCGATGAAAGATGTCGGACAAAATGTGGAAACTTCGGAAGCTTAGGCCTTGTCTCCACGGGATGCTTCACGGGATTTGTCCCTGGGAAAAATCCCACTTACAAAGTAGGGGAAAAAATTGAGTTAATAAAATTTTTTTTCAGTACCAAGTATGGTCCTTGTACCCCTAGGACCCACTGAGAGAGGAAGAAGAAGTGAAAACGAATTGTGCGGTATTTTATTCATTACTCCATTTTTAATGCTTGTTTCGTTAAAATAATGTGTCTAATTGTCAATTGAGTGCAATTATTATTTTAATCCCGGTTAAATACTCGACTTTAACTAATTTATCTTCCCGCGCAAATTAGTCGCAGGACTGTATGAGCCCCGCCTTGTGGAGACGGTAACTGGGGAAAATCACTGAAGTTTCATTCCTGCGATTCGAACTCGGGGCAAATCCCATGAAAACGTCCCGTGGAGACAAGGCCATATATTTTCGAAAGTATGGAACAAAATTTTTAAAGTGGTTTCATCATAGTATTTTCGTAAAATTTTCCACCAGGAACACCCCTTGAAATTGAATTCCAGACAACATAAACATCAAAATTTGAAATTTTAACCAAAGATTTCACGTCCGACCTCTACTATTAGTTCGTTCCCCAATACCTAGAACTGTTGTTGTGAGAGCCTGGCGACTTTTCCACGAAAGTTAATCTTCTTCATTGCACAATTTTCAAGCGAATTTTTCCGAAAAAGACAATTAATCAAATATAATCAAATCGTTCATGTTGACGGGGAAACTCCCACACCACGTATCTCGCTTGCGTTGTTCAAAAATCTCCGCTCCTGTTTTATTTTTAAAGGAAATACAAATCAACATCGTTCCTCGGAAAAACATCAGAATTTGCCCCGCACGGAGAAGAAAAATCACGGACATTTTTGAGAATCGTTGAGTTGTTCTCAATTAAAAAATAAAGTCTGACAGGAAGTCAGCAACGTCGCAAATCGAGTTACGTGGCTTAGGAGCCGCACCGTCGCACCGTTTCAGTGCCTTGTTTTACTTAGATAGTAAACTTTTCTTTTGCTTTCTTTTACAGAATCATCTGCATTGAGCTGCGTGCTGCTGATCTGATCGGTATGTAATTTTATTTTATTTGTAGCTTTCTGAATAGATTAAGCTCGCAATGGTTAATAGTGCCGAAGTAAGGTGCTTTTATTATAATTGGATTGGAAGAAAACTTTAACGGCACACAATGGATCGAGTCAATAGGAGAGGTCGGACAAAATTTGGAAGCTTTAAAAGCTCATAACTCCGTTTATACGGAACTTCGAGGTTCTAAAAGTGGTTCCATTGGTTTCCTCGTAAAACTGTCTATTCTATGTACCCCTTAAAATTTAAAATGTGAAGAAATAAACATCAAAATTTGCAGTTTTAGTAAAAAATTTCATGTCCAACCTCTTTGATTGACTCGATCCATTGTGCGTCGAATCAAATTAAGAAAGGATCAAGGGGATCCAACACCGGAAGTAAGCAAACATCGATGTATCGATTTTGCAGCGTAAAAACTATAGTTAGACTTTTAATTTTTTGCAAAGAGCGAAGCGGCTACGGTTACGGTTATAGTTCTATTTCAGCTGACTTTTACCGAAATTTTTTCCAGAATCCTCGGGAGGAGAACCCGTGAATTAAAACTGAAATCCAAACGCAAAATATTTGTAGCAAGGTAGTCAGATCGATCACAGAATTCACGCATTTTACCCAGGAAATCCCAGCGATCGGACACTGTAAGCTTTTATTCTAGGGATCACAAAATTAATTTTTTGAAAAAAAAGGAGATAAAAAACAGTAAAATGGGTTTCCAGGCGTAACGGATCCGTTTCCCGCCAAAAATTTGAAGTGCAGCCGGTATTTCAGCAACATTTTTCGATTCTCGATGCTTGTTTACTTCCGGTCAATGTTCGAAACTCACAGGCGCCAACGCGCCAAATGCGCCTAAAAAATCGGCCATGGCGCCTAAAAAATGAAGGCTCTGCGCCGACCTGGCCCCTAAAAATTGCCCCCTAAAAATCTGAATTGTCATGTTAGCTGATTATTCGAAATTTTCAGCAACACAAGTGAAAGCTTCTTCTATTCTTCACGATTTCATCATTTGTGCTTTTGTCTTCCCCAAAGTTACACCTACTCGCTAGTTCTGTTACGAAAACATCTTGCGTCTAACTTTTCAATAAATGCGCAGTAATATATAGGTAAATAGTCAATTTGGCCTCTGAGAAATCTTCCATGGCGCCTAAAAATCGGGTTTGATGCTCCGCATGGCTCTTAAAACTCAAAGGTGAGTTTCGAACACTGCTTCCGGTTTAGATCCACGCGAGGGCCTCGGAGTCGAACTGTCAGACCGTCGACAGAACAGGAAAATTCTGTTCTACGATCGGTATACTTAATATCCCTCCGATCCGGCAGCACGGCAAATTTTCGAACAGGCTTGTCAGATCGACCCCGAAATTCCCGCATTTTCCCAGGAAATCCCACCGATCGGACACTGTAAGCTCTCATTTTAGGGATCATAAAATTAATTTTTTGAAATAAAAGGAGATGAAAAACAGTAAAACTGATCCGTTTCCCGCCAAAAATGTGAAGTGCAGCCGGTATTCCAGCGAAATTTTTCGCTTCTCGATGCTTGTTTACTTCCGGTTTAGATCCACGCGAGGGCCTCGGAGTCGAACTGTCAGACTGTTGACAGAACAGGAAAATTCTGTTCTACGATCGGTATAATATCCCTCCGATCCGGCAGCACGGCAAATTTTCGAACAGGCTTGCCAGGTCGACCCCGAAATTCCCGCATTTCACCGAGGAAATCCCGGCGATCTTGATAAATCCGGCAACACCGCAGAAGCGCGAAGGCTATCCTCTCCGCGGTGGCGCGCGAGTACCCGCGCGTTTTTTCTTTCATCTGATCGCCGCAAGACTGATTACAGACGGGCGTCTGATTTTTCAGCCAGTCCATCTCGATCGACCGCGTCCGTAACACCTGATCTTCTTATCGGTCATCTGCCTCCGCGCACGCGCGAAACACCTCCGCGAAACACCGCGAAACGCCACTCGCTCCGCGAAATTCATCGTAAAATCGCCGAAATTAAATTTTCACTCGGAGTATCCGACCATTCGTTCAACTACCATACGAATTAATATTACACTAATTTAGCGAAAAAGTGAAAAAGAAAATACAGTTAGACTAACTCTTTTCAAAAAAAAAAAAAAAAAATCGTTACCTGAATATTACCATAATTAATTTATTTATTTTATATATTTATTCGTAATTTAAGTACGCCGTATTAATTTATTTATTTATTCGTAATAAGACAGTTCCACGTGAAATTTTGAACTTTTAAAGAGGATTAGCGTAACACCCTTCCTGCTCTTATCGCCGTATGATCCGTGTCCAAAACTTGACGAGCATTATTTTGGACCCCCAATAATAGGTAAGAAATATCAATCGATTTTTTATGCTACTAAAAGTGATTTTTAGAATTTTTCTTTTTAAATGTAATTTTTCATTGAAAAGTTGAGAAAACGGCCATGACGGCAGATGATTTTTTTTTGTTTTCTTGGAAAATAGAAAAAAAATGGTAAAGGTTAAATTAGGGGAAAGTGGCACTTTTTTAGATGGATGGAGGGAAGGCAAGGGGGAGGAAGGGTACCAATCATTCCCTTTAATTTTTGGAAACGAATGCTGAATTAATATAACGATCTAAAATTGCGCTGATAAATCTATCGCTGTAAATATCAGTCACATTAATGTGTCTCTGTTTTTCCATATAAATATATTTTTTATGAAACGCGACAAGAGGAAAGTTTTGAAGTTTCTCATTCTCATAGTTTGGTAAACTTTTTCTCTCTCTTGTCTCCTCTATTTGGGATTTTGTTCGTTTTTCAGTGCAGAAACGCAAGCACATCACGGCAATTTTTGAATTTCTGCACTTTTTCTCAATTTTATGTGCGCCACTAAAATATATTTAGTACATTTTCGACTAATTTAGTCGGTTTTTAAGGACATTTAAACTGCCATCGTGGTGTCGTTTCTTCAGTTTTCGTGAAAAAAATGAAGACGAAATCCTCGGTGATATAGGATGCATTTTCGTTTGTATTTTTTTTCTCTTGATATGCATTTTTAAGAGGTTGAACCAATGTACTGTCTTTTTGCCTTTTTTTAAAACAAATAATTTCCTACGTTGAGAGGTGATATTTCTTATTTCGATAGAAAACAATATATTAATAAGCATTTGGCAACAGATGACTAGAGAGGATATGTACTTTCTTTCGAAGTTAGTCAATTTAAACGTCATAAGTCTTGCGTTTTTGACAGCCTTGATCAAAAATAGAACTGATCCGTCTGACCCAGTCATATTTGAGCTTGAAATATCCCCCTTCTTCTTTAAAAAAAAAAAAAAAAAAAAAAAAAAAAAAAAAATAAAAAAATAAATAAATAAACTGTAAGCCCCTTAACCCCCCCCCCTCTCCCAAAGAAAACACTTTTCATTGGACGGAAAGTGAGTAAAAAAATCGAGATTTCTGGAAATGTCTCTTGTTCGGGTTGCAAGACGACTCGAAGTATTCTTGAAAACCCGCCCATTCTCGAAGGGCACCCGAATTTGGTCATAGCCGAACTGCACATTCGTAACCGCATGATAAAGAGAGTTCGCGACTTTGCGAGTCGTCTGGATAAACCGCGGAAATCATGAATAAAATCCACATTAAAAATGATGGCAAATAAATCTAAGCCATTAGGAGCCAAGTCGGAAGGAGTGACCATCATCACCCTCTGGCGCGACCGTTCGAGACGGCGCGGCGCGGCGTCGCGCTGCAAAGCGTTGCGAGAGAGGTTCGGGAAAAGCCGCACGCGGAATTCCTTACGTGTGTACATGCATATTTTAATGGAGTCGCGGGACGAGTGCCCTAGTCCGATTCTGAATACATAAAAGTGAATTTTAAGATTAATTTTTATGTTGACTCACACCGAAATGTGAGTGCTTTTCGTAGGAGGCACTGGAAAAAAAACACATTGGATCTAGAGTCCAGACTCTTGAAAACATTGACAAGAAAAAGAACTCTTGATTCAATCAGATTTAAGCTTAAATCAGAAGGGAATCCGCTCAAATTAGGAGGCTTGGTTCTTGATTTAAGCTTAAACCTGATTGAATCAAGATTATTTTTTCTTGTCGAGGTTTTTAAGAGTTTGGACTCTAGATCCAATGTGTTTTTTTTTCCAGTGAGGCACCTCATCAAGACTGCTGTGCTAAGGAAGAACGCCGTATAAACCTTCAGGTGTTGCCAAATTTCCTTTGATAAAATACGAATTTTCTGGTAAACTTCTGAATATTTTTCTTCTAATTTTTCAAATAATTTAGGAATAGGAATTCCGCTCTCAAGTAGAGTCACGGAAAAACTTCATTAATTTTTTCAAAATGCGGAGGGTTCAATGAAATCTCTTTTATTATTAGCGACGATTCATTTGTGGGGAAACATGATTCATTTCAATGTCATTGACTAGGATTTTCAACTCTAATTTCCCAGTCCGTACGCTTAAGTCCCCGCACTTGCTAATTTGTCCAGAGTTAGATAGTGGCTCGAATCGATCTGTTCTACTATTACCAAAATTTTATTTGTAAGGCAAGATGACTCATGTCTACGATTGACTAGAATTTTCAACATTAACTTTCTTATCCTTGCGTTTAAGTCTCCGTACTTGCTAATTTGCCCAGAGTTGGCAAGTAGCCTTAAATGGTGTGTTTTACTGTTACCACAATTTCATTTGTAGGGCAAGATGACTCATGATTATGTTATTGACTAGAATTTTCAACATTAACTTTCTTATCACTGCGTTTAAGTCTCCGAACTTGCTAATTTGTCCCGAGTTAGATTGTGGCTTTAAATGATGCATATGTTCTGCTATTACCGAAATTTCATTTGTTGGGCAAGATGACTCATGTCTATGCATATGTTATTGACTAGAATTTTCAACATTAACTTTCTTATCCTTGCGTTTAAGTCTCCGTACTTGCTAATTAGTCCCGAGTTAGATTGTGGCTTTGAATGATGCATGTGTTTTGCTATTACCGAAATTTCATTTGCAGGGC